ACTCACTGGTAACACAAACAGTGACTTCGCGTTCAGATCACAAGAACTGCAGAGAAGGGCCGCTCTCTCCGTCACCAAAGAGTCGTCTGTTTTCACAATTATCTCCATTAGAGTCGTGTCTATTAAGAGATGGCTCACCTGATGGCAGAGATGTGGACGTCTGGATCAGTACTAAAGTGATTCTTGTATTCCTCGAATGCAGTGATCGTCTCAATTGTTCCACTTTTGCCACACATTCCGTTCGCTTCTGATTCCACGACAAGTCATCCCAATTGAGTTCAACGAAGAGCACACAAACAGACGGCATCTCAAACAAGTGCTTCCGGATCCACGACGTCTTGAGGATCCCCTTCGGGATGTGCCACTCGTACGAAGACTTCTGCCAATAAGACGGACAATACAATGACAATAAGACAATGAGTGCGCGAATGTACTCATACTTTGGGTTTGGATGCCATGAAAGTGTGATTATCTGCCATCAGTTTGAAGTAAAGCGGCGGTCGATCTGAACCGCGGTTCTGAGTGAATGAGTTCCATATCATGGCGTGAATGGCATTGTTCAACTCACTGGTAACACAAACAGTGACTTCGCGTTCAGATCACAAGAACTGCAGAGAAGGGCCGCTCTCTCCGTCACCAAAGAGTCGTCTGTTTTCACAATTATCTCCATTAGAGTCGTGTCTATTAAGGGACGGCTCACCTGATGGCAGAGATGTGGACGTCTGGATCAGTACTAAAGTGATTCTTGTATTCCTCGAGTGCAGTGATCGTCTCAAATGTTCTACTTTTGCCACACATTCCGTTCGCTTCTGATTCCACGACAAGTCATCCCAATTGAGTTCAACGAAGAGCACACAGACGGACGGCATCTCAAACAAGTGCTTCCGGATCCACGACGTCTTGAGGATACCCTTCGGGATGTGCCACTCGTACGAAGACTTCTGCCAATAAGACGGACAATACAATGACAATAAGACAATGAGTGCGCGAATGGATTCATACTTTGGGTTTGGATGCCATGAAAGTGTGATTATCTGCCATCAGTTTGAAGTAAAGCGGCGGTCGATCTGAACCGCGGTTCTGAGTGAATGAGTTCCATATCATGGCGTGAATGGCATTGTTCTGAGCGCTCAGACCTATCAGTGATATGTAGGGAATGGGAACCAATTGGAGCTCTTCGGCGAACCAGTCATCGGCGGTCACCGTCGGAGGAGACGTTGTTTCCGTCATTTCAGTCACTTTTGTATGACTTTCGGTGGACAGCAATGAGTCGTGCATTGAGTGGACACACGAGGACTGACTCATCCACTCAAATGTCTCTTCATTGCAGACAACAATCTCTCGAGAAATAGATTTTTGTCATAAAAAGTGACGATTTGTTGATAAACTGTATTTCATATGACATTGCATTCAGTGAGTGAGCCGTGCATTGGATGCCATCTCTTGTGTGGCTTTCAATTGATTTTGTTTTATAAAACTTTTCACATTTGTTTCATTCAAATGTATTACTAATACAGTATTAGTTACGAGAAAATGTTAATTAAAGCCTAAATTAAACTCAAATATGTATTGAAATGTGATTTAAAAGTTTGTTAATTAAAAGCTTGTGTTGAATGCAGTTGTGTTTCAGTGAGTGAGTGACTGACACTCAATAGCACTACAAATGAACAACTTTTGGCACAATAGAGGCCACAAGTGTTCACTATATATCAAATGATCACAAACTACATTACATTTAATGAAGGGTGCGAATCACTAATCACTAAGTTTAGAAGGTTTATGTGCTAATGCTAACACATATGAGGGGCATAATGGGCATTCAATATGTATTGAATAGGCATAGGCTGTGTGTGTGCGTGTGGACCGGCTTAGCATGAGCTGTCACAGTAGTGTTAGTGAAAGCGTGTGTGTATTGTATTGAGAGGTGGAGTGAGTGTGAGTGGAGTATAGGCTGTGTGTGACTGACAGACACTCTCTATAGTGAAGTGACGATTTGTTGATAAACTGTATTTCATATGACATTGCATTCAGTGAGTGAGCCGTGCATTGGATGCCATCTCTTGTGTGGCTTTCAATTGATTTTGTTTTATAAAACTTTTCACATTTGTTTCGTTCAAATGTATTACTAATACAGTATTAGTTACGAGAAAATGTTAATTAAAGCCAAAATTAAACTCAAATATGTATTGAAATGTGATTTAAAAGTTTGTTAATTAAAAGCTTGTGTTGAATGCAGTTGTGTTTCAGTGAGTGAGTGACAAACACTCAATTGCACTACAAATGAACAACTTTTAGCACAATAGAGGCCACAAGTGTTCACTATATATGAAATGATCACAAACTACATTACATTTAATGAATGGTGCGAATCACTAATCACTAAGTTTAGGAGGTTTATGTGCTAATGCTAAGACATATGAGGGGCATAATGGGCATTCAATATGTATTGAATAGGCATAGGCTGTGTGTGTGTGTGTGGACCGGCTTAGCATGAGCTGTCACAGTAGTGTTAGTGAAAGCGTGTGTGTATTGTATTGAGAGGTGGAGTGAGTGTGAGTGGAGTATAGGCTGTGTGTGACTGACAGACACTCTCTATAGTG